CTCTGCCTCCCAAGTGCTGGGACTACAGGCGTGCGCTACCACACCCGGCACAATTTTATTTTTTAATAATTTATTATTTTTATGTGTATGAAGTGTATTGCCTACATGTGTGTAAGTGTACTTGTGTCATGAAATGCCCGCAGAGGTCAGAAGGTGTCAGGACCTCTAGAACTGGAGTTACAGACAGCTGTTAGCAGCCATATGGGTGCTGGAATTCAAACCTGGGTCCTCTGCAAGAGCAGTCAGTACTCTTAACCACTGAGTCATCTCTCCAGCCTCATGATTTTATTTTGTGATGGAGGAGATCAAAACCAGGGTCTTGGGGTTGGAGAGATATTTTCACATGTTTTTTCCTCTCTTACCCAAAGGAATAACAACTTACTGGCAAATGTCAAAAATTACATAGACTTGTGAGTCATTAAGGGAACTCAGAAATTATCTGAACCAATGTTTCAAGGAAGGGATTTATCAGGTATCGAGCTACTACATGAATACTTTCAATGGCCAAAACAGCTCATTGCTATAAATCTCATTCTCGTTACTGTTAAGGGCCATTTCTTTTCATGAGTCAAACTTTATGTACTGGCTTATAATATTCACTAGTTGTTCTTGTTCACAATGTCTGCAATAATCCTGTTCCTTGTTTCACTAGAGATTTGCAAACATCAGAAGGCAACTATGCTATCACCATGAAATCTTTTCTTCTTGAGGAAATAAACAATTCTCTTGGTTTCTCATGACAATGACATGGTTTCCAAACTGTCCTTATTAGTTATATTTTAAAATGTGCAGAATGCAGTAGCAATCCTTTTTTTTCTTTTTTCTTTTTTTTTTTTTTTTGACAGGGTCTCCCTGTAGCCCCAGCTGTCCTGGAACTCACTATGTAGACCAGGATGGCCTTGAACTCATAGAGCTCCACCTGGCTCTGCTTCCCGAGTGCTGGGATTAAAGGCATTTGGCACCACGCCCAGCAATATTACCTTTTTAAGAAAAAACTTCTATTGGCTCTTTTTTTTTTTTTTTTTTGGTCTTTTTGAGACAGGGTCTCCCTATAGCCCCAGCTGTCCTGGAACTCACTATGTAGACCAGGCTGGCCTTGAACTCACAGAGATCCACCTGCCTCTGCCTCCCGAGTGCTGGGACTACAGGCGTACGCCACCATGCCCGGCTTATTTTTTTAATATTTTTATTTATATTTTATGTGTATGCATGTATTGCCTGCATGTAGATAAGTGCACCGTGTCGTGCAATGCCTGCGGAGGACAGAAGAGGCTGTCGGATCCCCTGGAACTGGAGTTACGGACAGTTGTTAGCTGCCATGTGGGTGCTGGGATTCAAACCTGGGTCTTCTGCAAGAACAGTCAGTGTTTTCAACTGCTGAGCCATCTCTCCAGCCCCTCTATTGGCTTTTTAAGCAGTCTTATTTTAGTATGTTATATATAAACATTTCAAGTAAATCAAATCTTTCACAAGTTTTTAAGTTTACAGAAAAATTAAGCACAAAGTAGAGTTTCCCAAGTCAGATATGATGGTGCATGCCTGTAATTCCAGCACTTGGGAGGTTGAGGCAGGAGGATTGGGTGGTTCAGGTCCAGCCAGAGCTAGTCTTTGTCTCCCAAAACAAAACAAAAAAACCCAGAGTCCCCATATGTGTTCCCCTCCTACCACACAAAGTTTCTCTTTTTATTAATCCTCCTGTATTTGTGAGGTATATTTATCACTGACAAGCGTAATCAATACACTCCTTGTTTTTTGTTTTGTTTTGTTGAGACAAGGTCTCCTTGTACCCCCAGCTGGCCCAGAACTTGCTATGTAAGAGGCTGGCCTTGACTTCACAGAGATCAGCCTGCCTCTGCCTTGTGAGTGCTGTTATTTGCTCATCTTAAAAAAAGCTTAGCTAAGACCATCTTTTTTCTTTTATCTTTGTGCGTGTGTGCATGTGTGCAGGTGCATGCTCCATGGTACACATGTGGAAGTCAAAAAGAAAACCTCAGATGTCAGTCTTTGCTTTCCACCTTCTTTGAGACAGGGTCTCAGTAGACTTTCTATTGCTCAGCTAGCCTAGCTGGCCCATGGGTTTCCAGAAATCTTCCTCGATCCTTCTGTCACTGTCTCCAGTCTCCCTGCAAGAGAGCTGGCATTACAGATTTTTGTGCTACAGCATGTTTTTTTTTTTTTTTTTTTTTTTTGATAGGGTCTCCCTAGTCACAGCCCATTTTGAGGTCATGATGAGAACCAGGGTGGCCTTGATCTTGCAGAGATCCACCTGCCTCTGCTTCCCAAGGACTGGGATCAAAGGTACAGCATCTGGCTTTTACATGGGTCATTAAGATTTGACTTCAGGTCCTCATGCTTTCACCTACTGAGCCATCACCCTAGCCCCTTAGCTGGAATTACTGACTTAAGACCTTTCTTCTTTCTAACACAGGCATTTAGTACTACGAATTTCTTCCTAAATAATTTTAGCAGCAATCTATTAATTATGAAGGGATAGCTGCATTTTCCTCTAATTTGGATTTTTTAAATCTTCAGAAATATGTTATTTGTAGTCTCAAATACTTGAGGCTTTTAAAGAAATCTTTATTACTGATTTCTAATTTAATTCCATCATGGTCAAAGAACATTTGTAAGACTTGAATTTTGCTAAATTTATTGAGATATGTTTTAAGGCTAAGACCACCTATGTTGGTAAGTACATCTAAAAGAATGTATATTATTATTGAGTAATCTGTTACCAATTAAGTAAAATTGACAAATAGTTTCGTTTAAATTTCCTATGTACTTCACCATTTTCTTTTCAGGGGGTCTTTTTGAGACATGGTCCCCCTGTAGCCCCCAGCTGACCTGGAACTCGCTATGTAGCCCAGGCTGGCCCTGAACTCACAAGAGAGCCACCTGCCTCTGCCTCCTAAATGCTCAGATTAAAGGCGTGTGCCACCGCTTTTGGTTTAGTACCCTATTCTTGATAGAACAGAAAATCATGTGCCAGGCGTGGAGGCACATGCCTTTAATCCCAGCACTGGGGAGGCAGAAACAGGTGTTCTCTGTGAGTTCAAGGCCAGCCCAGTCTACACAGCCAGTTCCAGGCCAGCTGGGGCTACAGGGAGACCCTGTCTCAGAAAGACCAAAAGAGCCAGGCGTTGTGGCACACAACTTTAATCCCAGCACTTGGGAGGCAGAGGCAGGCAGATCTTTGTGAGTTCAAGGCCAGCTTGGGCTACATAGTGAGTTCCAGGACAGCTGGGGTTACAGGGAGACCCTGTCTCAAAAGGACCAAAAAA